GAACCCTTTAAAGGAACCCGTTAAAGGAACCCCCAAAAAGGAACCCTAAAGGCCTATGCCCCATGATGCTGCAGAGCCCAGCTGCTCCGAAGAGAGCATGGCACCCAAGCGGCGAACCTCCAGGGCCGAGGCGCTCACCTGGCTAATGGTTGGCTTAAAATGTCTTAAACATGTAAACTGTCAGCTGTTATTCCTTACTGGGTTTTAAAATACCATGGCTCATGGTTGGGATAGTGTTAAAAAAATTACAATTTTTATTCCGTAGTGGGCTTTTGAGTATTTCTGAGCCATGTTTTTGGGGGTTCCTGGGCTCTTTAGCTCCCCTTTCTAATGTGGAAATAGACTAACCTGGCTCCTTAGCTCCCCCAAAAGGTATGGGTAGGTGAGTTCATGGTTGGGATAGGTTTAAAAATTACAAGTCTTGTTCCTCAATGGGGAAAACCTTACAATTTGTACTCCTTAATGGGTTTCAGTTACCATGAAAAAATATAAAAATTCACCCAAGCATGACCCGTCACGGGGGTCAGGGCGGACGTTTCCGCGAGGCTCGCGCCCTCCTCGTCGTCGCTCTCGGTGACGAGCTCCGCATCGTCCAGGGCCGTGTCCGAATCCACGTCTCGAACCTGAGCATCCTTTAGAGTTTCGAGTTTGCAGTTTAGGGTTTAGGGTTTAGGGCTTAGGGTTTAGGGCTTAGGGTTTAAAGGGTTTAGGGTTTAGGGTCCAGGATGATGTCACAGGACCCCCCACCCCCAGACCTATCTTCCCTTTTTAGCTCCCGCCTCGGCGAGGAGCTGCCTCCCCTTCTCCTCGGCCTCCGCCTCTTCTTCCGGGCTCAAGGCTGGAGACGAGGAGGGCATGCTCTCCACCTCCGCTTTGGCCGCCGCCTTCTCCTCCTCTGAGCCCATGGTCAGCCGGGTGAGCAGGCTCATCATCTTCTTCACGGTCCCTTCGGGATCCTTCTTCAACGATGGAGACGCCTTGCCGAGGCAGAGAGAGAGAGGGAGAGAGAGAGAGTCGCGCCCTAAATCCCCTTGAAGGAGCCCTCACACCCCTTCAAGGAACCCTGACACCCCCTTGAAAGGAGCCCATGGCCTGGATTTTGTCCTTGAGCCGCAAGGCGACGAGGCCATCCTCGCCGAGGACTCCGCTCAAGTCAGCGATCGCTGCGTCGTACGCGGCCTGCTGCGCCTGGAAAGCGAAAATGCGAAGCGCGGCATCCACGGGGTGGCCGGAAGAGCGGGGCTTCGCGGTGACGACGGCGATGATGACGGACGGTGCTGATGATGATGATGATGACGACGACGACGACGATGATGATGATGATGATGGGGATCGGGATGGGGATGGCGATGATGATGATGATGATGCTGATGACGATGATGACGATGATGACCAAATACGACTGATGATGGTGGGGATAGGGTTTGGGCTGGGGAAGGCGACATGATGCAGATGACGACGACGATGATGCTGGCTTGTTCTTTTGCTTGTGATGGTGCTGTGCTGATCTGACAGTGCTGTTCCCGTGACGCTGATGGGTAGTGCTTGCGGTGGTGGTGGCGCGGTGGTGCTGGTGACGGCACCCGGTGGTGTGCTGGGAGTGGCATCGGCGGTGGTGGACATGATGTCAAGATGACAGGCTAATACATGGCGGCTAGGTGCAGCGGATCAGATCGTCTTCGCATGTTGACTTCTGACAATCCGAACACAAACTGACGTTGACAAACCAGTATTTGCAAGCAAACCACACCTACAGTCATGATTTCGTGATTGTTCTGACCTGGCCCTCCGCATGTCTAATTGCACCCTAGAGGCCCAAGTTCGTGCTTCATGGGGTATGATGGCAAGCTGCTTTGCTACCGCAACAGGTACTACCGTTAGTGTTCCCGTGCCAACTGCTTGCATCGTTATCGTAAGTCTCGGTGTTGCTATTCGGTGCAGATCTAGCTACTGCTGCCTTCGCTGCTATCATCTGCTAACGTCATTCCCGTTGCGGTCGCCTATGTGGCTTGGGCGAAACGTCGTCTTTGTCGTTATTGTCGCCACCGGCATCGTCGTCGTTGCGTCGCCGCCGCATCCTCGCCAGCGCCGTATTGCGTCTCGCCGTCGTCGTTAGAAGAATAGCCGGAGCAGCAAAAAGAAGAAGTCGTGGTAGTCGTCGTCGTAGTCGTCGTCGTAGTAGTCGTCGTAGTCGTCACAATAGAAGGTAGTAGTAGAAGTAGTAGTAGTAGTAGTAGTAGTAGTAGGAGTAGGAGTAGGAGTAGGAGTAGGAGTAGTAGTAGTAGTAGCAATAGTAGGAGCAGTAGTAGCAGCAGTAGTAGCAGTAGTAGGAGTAGGAGTAGTAGTAGTAGTAGCAGCAGTAGTAGTAGTAGGAGTAGTAGTAGTAGTAGTAGTAGTAGTAGTAGGAGTAGTAGTATAGCAGTAGCAGTTGTAGGAGCTGCAGCAGCAGGAGGAGGAGGACGAGGATGAGTAGCAAGGGAAGCCGTAAGGCATAGGAGGGGGAGCAGGCAGTCGAGCAGCAGGAGGTGGAGTAGCCCCGAACCCTACACCTTGAACCCTAAACCTTAAAACTCTAAACCGTAAACTTCAGCCCCTAAACCCGAAACCACCCTAAACCCCGACACGCAGGAGCGGCACCAACAGCAGTGGAAGCAGCATCATCCGTAACAGAAGTAACTTGGGGTTTAGGGCTTAAAGGGAACCCCAAAAAGTTGGAACATGGATAAAGGATGATTTGTGCTAGGATTTCCTATGCTTCACTTTAAGGGCATTAGGACTACCATGTTCCAACTTTCTGGCTTCTACTGTAGGGTTTATGAAACATTCTCGTCCCACCTGGCGGTCTTCTTCAGTCATGGACTTCGCAAGCCTCGAGTTGCCTTGGGCCTGGCGGCGCGCTAGGGTTTGGAGTTTAGGGTTTGGATTTTGGGGCTGGGGTTTGGGGTTTAGGGTTTAGGATTTAGGGTTTCGGGTTTAGCGTCAGGGTTTCGGGTTTAGGGCTTGGCATTTAGCGCTTTTGTCGGAGGGCTTTGTCACAATTAAGCGGCGGGTTGGGTACCCTAGTTAGGTCCTTATTAGGGTCATCAAGGCCCTGTGCCCCCCACTCTGCGACCCACCAAGGGTCGATGTAACTGTGGGAAACAGCTCCTGGCCTTGGACATAAAGCGCACGGCGTTCACCATCTGTTGAAGGCGGCGGTTGCATCTGGGATACGCCCAATGCAAAGTTGAAAGGCAATCCTTCTTGTACCTCGGTCCCGATGTCTGGGGAGTCACAGCACACCAAGCCTGCTCCTTTATAGTACCCTAAACCCTAAACCCGAGATCCCTTTTAGTACCCTACACCCTCAACCCTCGATCCCTTTATGGTGCCCATATGGCCCACCAAACCCTAAGCCAAGAATGCCTTATGCCCTTGGAGCCGGAAAGCCGCACACAAACCCTCAGAGCAAAAGCTAGGCCTTGAACTTTGAACGGAGCACCGCAAGGGGCAAAGAGAGAAAGAGCTGACAGGTGAGCAAGCTTGCTTGGGGTTTAGGGTTTAGGAGGTTTGGGAGGCTTAGGGGGATTAGGGCGTCGCCACTTGAACAGTCCACACTCGTCGCGAAGCTGCAGCCGGGATGCTTCTGGCTCTTGTCTCGGAGAACCTAGTTCGTGGTGGGGATAGTGTCATACATGTTGGTGTCTACTCCTTCACAGGGTTTCTGGTACCCTTACAAGCGCAAAAAGAAAACCTACCCAACCATGACCCAAAAGCCCCGGCCATCATCTGGAAGTGCGTCTCGGGCTCGTGCGCGAGCATGTAGGCGTCACTCAGGCGGCAGTGGTCGCCGAAGGGCCGCGGGCGATCCAACAAAAGCCGGCGGAAGGTGCAACCTCCTTCGGCTCCCACCTTGCGCTTTTTGGTAAAGAGGGTCTATGGGTATGGGGGTTTAGGGTTTCGGGTTTAGGGCCCTTCGTTTGGTAAGGAGCGTGTATGGGTTTGGGGTTTAGGGGTTAAGGGTTTGGGGTTTAGGGTTTAGGGTTTTGAACTTTGGGTTTGGGGCTTAGGGATTAGGGTTGAGTATGGGGGTTAAGGCCTCATACTTCGTGGTTATAGGGTATGGGGTATATGGCCTCATAGCCCAGGGGTTTGGGTTCAGGGTGTAGGGCCTCATAGTAGCCCACCTTGGGTATGGGGGTATAGGGCCTCATACTTCAGGGGTTTGGGTTTAGGGTGCAGGGTCTGACTGATAGCACACCTTGGGGATCAGGGTATGGGGCCTTTTGCCCACCTGGGAGTTTAGGGTTTAGGGTATAGAGTCTTCTTGCCCACATTTGGGGGCATAGGGCAGTCTGGCCATAAAACCTAAACCCTGCCTGAAACTGAAACCCTAAACCCTAAACCCTAACCCAAAAACGGTTTTAGGAGCTAAGGGCGGCTTTGGGAGGCGTTTTAAGGGCGAGAACAAGCGCTTTCTCCAGGGAGACCCAGCTCTGTCGTTGCAAAGTTGACTCATGATGATGGACCCCCAAAGAAGGCTCCTAGGGTTTTAGTGCCTAGTTTAGGGTTTAGCCTAGGATTAGTACTTAAGCTCCTAGGGTTAAGGGTTTAGGGCTTAGGGTTAGCACCCCAGGGTTTAGGGCTGAGGGTTTAGGGCTGACGGGTCTAGGGTTTCAGACAGGCCCAGCCACACACTTCCAGCTTGGGATGTCCCAACTGCACTGACCATTGGCCGCCCGATAGGCATCCTGGGCTCTTGAGGGAACCCCCGGAGCGCAAAGCATGGCATAGAAGTCTTAAGACTAACCGCTACCATACAAGAACATATCAGGAACCCAAGGAGGAGCCAAAAAAAAGGTAGAACCCAAAAGCCCCAGAAAATAACAAGAGTGTACAAAAACCCTAAACCCTAAACACCGTACCAAAAGAAACCGAAGCGTCGGCCCACTCCTCCGGGGTCTTCGACGTCTCGGATTTCGACTCCCAGTCTCTGGCTAGAAGGCTTTGGGAGATGGAAGAAAGCTCATCGACTCGCCTAAGGGTTCAGGATTTGTGAAACTGGGGTGTAGGGTTTAGGCTTTAGGATTTGCGGGTTTGGGGTGTAGGGTTTAGGCTTTAGGATTTGTGGGTTTGGGGGGGTAGGGTTTTTGGGTTTCCTGGCCTTGTTGTTAGGGTGTTTGGGTTATTGGCTTCAGGGCTTTATTGTTTGGGGTTTCGGGTCTTGTTGTAAAGCCTGATTTAAGTTCTGACCTTTTCGGGGACGCCGCGGACGCACGGAAGCGACTATGTGTGCATGCCTGTCTGTCTGTCTGCCTGGCTGTCTGTCTGTCCTCAGTCAAACGTCTGTCTGTCTGTCTGTCTGTCTGTCTGTCTGTCTGTCTCTCTGCGGTCTGTCTGTCTGTCTGTCTGCGGTCTGTCTGTCTGTCTGTCTGTCTGTCTCTGTCTGTCGGTCGGTGGGTCGGTCGGTCGGTGGGTCTGTCTGTCTGCATGAATGTAAGTATGTATGCATGTGTGTATGTACAGGTATATATTTCTATCGAAGATCTATCTGTCTATGTATGATCGAACATCTATCTATCTGTCTGACTGTCTATCCATCTATCTATCTATCTTTATCTATCGCTATCTACACGTACCTATCTATCTATCTGTCCATCAATCTATATTTTGCAATAAACCTACTTCTCTTCTAACGGCTACTTAAACTAAGTTCCTGAGTGCACGAGCCCAGTCGCACGGCTTCGTGGCCCGCCAGTAGGACCAGGAAGAACACGGCTTTGAGCTGCAAAGCGCCAGCGTCGGGATTCAGCTTGCGTGGCATTGAACAAGCGGAAAAAACTCAGGAAAACTTTCTATAAGTCAGGCTACCTGTGAGCTGTGAGCGGTGCGAGCACCAACGGCTATCAGCTCTCAATGGGCACGGCACTCCAAGTCTAAGTGGAAACGGACTGGCACCTCTGACTGTGCAATTCCTGCAGAAGTGCTGCTGTGAGCCTCCAATGGCCTGTTGGCTCAGATCTTAGTTGATCGTAGTGTAATACTACTTCCCAAGGGCCCCGACTTTAAGGCCATCTCAGCGCCAAGCTCTAAGCCTTAAGAGGTTTAGGGTTTAGGACTGATGGCCGGGACTCTCCAAGCCCTTAAACCCTGAAACCCTAAACACTGAACCCTAAATTCCCTAAACCCTGAACCCCTGAAACCCTTAAACCCTCAACCCTGAACCCCTGAAACCCTTAAACCCTCAACCCTAAACCCTAAACCCTGAAACCCAACCACGCTCTCTTTAACTGCGCCGTCCTGGTGAGTTGGACGCTGCTTCGGGACCCACGAAGAGAGGGGACCCGCGGCTTGTACGAGCCTACAAAGCCGCAACCGGGCTTGGCCACCTCGGAGAGCTCGGGGCCTCGGCCCCAGCGCGCCCCATGCCGGATCCCCATCACTTCCGGAATGGATTTCGTGGATCCAGAAAGCGTAAAGCCGCCAATTACAGCTCGGCGCCATACAAGTGCCACGCAATGCGATCAAGAGCATAGCGGAATATCATCATTTTCTCTCGATGGCCGGAACCTATGACTCAAAGCTGAAAAACATGCGCCTGCCCAACTATGATAACACACCTTCATTGCCGCTTTCCCCACGGAGCGCGTGCCGAAGCATCTGCATCTCTGTGGGCAATGTCACAAGACAGAAAAACTCCAACACGGTCAGCGGGGAGGTGCGAGATACGTGGGCGGAGGCCATGAGTCCAAAATCCGCTTGAAGTCGTCCGCCGGCTCCATCTTTTCTCGCAATCTCGAAGCAGATGGAGGAGTTGATATTTGCCCTGTTCTCTCTCTAGGGAGGGTAGACCCAGCTCCCCACACACAGCACTTGCCG